TCCTTCCGCCGCGCCCTAAAGACATGGCTTTTTCAACAAGCGGGTCTGGCCTAGGGATTTTTAGCGGGGTTTTTTAAGGGTATTTTAAGGATAATTTTAATGATCGGCCTTCTTAAATATTTCCTTTTAATTCGGTTTTTAATATAGATATCATTGTATTTGTATTGTGGTTTTTATGAGGCTGTTAGCCGCCCTGAGTTCCATGAGGAGAAGGGCGGGGTACAAATTAAATTAATAATAATAAAATAATAATAATTAATAATAATAAAATACAACTGAATGTAGCCTTGGATGTACGTTCCACTTCTCATTTCAGTTTAATTACAAAATTTTCTAACTGCATTAAAATGAGTTAGATGCCCATGCACTGATGATCACTGAGGTTCTTTTAAATAGGCATCTGCTGTTTTCTATTAATTGTTATGTTTTCGTTGTTTTCAAATATGTTAAGAAGCCTTGTCTCAAAAATTCCTTAAACAAGCATTCTTTAAGTAAATGACAGGATGCATGCATTAAGTAGGCTACGGTGCTGGATAGTTTGTTTCTGTAGGAACTGAGCTTTGGATATTTGCTACCAAATTCAGTAAATAGTTTCCGGTTGTCAACTGTCCAGTTGGCATTTCCAGAAAAAGAAACTCTTGGTATATGATTTTACCAAGAGTATAATACTTTACTAAAAATTTACATTGGCAGAGAAGAAGCAAAACCAGCTCTGGTTTTCCCGCTCAAAAGCTTACTTAATTAAACAATAGATTCCCTCGCCTCCACCCATTGGGTGTTCACATTATCCAATAGTAACACTTCTTCTTATGGGAAAAGTCCACTTCATTAGTGACCTTGGCTTTATCAGCTCCATGCTCTCAGAGACGCCTGGTTGCCTAGCTACCATCCCTCCCACTTTTGCATCCCACAACTTTGTCAAACTGTGAGGGAAGAGAAAGTAGGTGAAAGTGTGAATTCTGTTAAATTATTTGAATCCTGCTTTGAATTTCGAACAAATGGCAGGATTGATGAGTAAGAAGTTCTGCCGTGCCTTACCCAAGCAAATACTTGAAACAAGACATGTTTTATTTAGATTGGTGAGCGGGGCGCGAACTTGAGTGGGGGGCAGCGCCAACGGATCAGCCTTGCCCGTGCGCTGTACAGCGACAAGAGCATTTTCATCCTCGATGACCCGTTGAGTGCCTTGGATGCCCACGTTGGAAACCACATCTTCAACAGTGCAATCCGGAAGCACCTGAAGACCAAAACAGTTGTGTTCATCACACACCAGCTCCAGGTAGGCTGACTGTGTCCTCTTGCTCTGTTCTGCTCGGGAGTTTATTGGCTGAATAAATGTGGGCGACTGTAACTTTCTGCTGTCCAGAGGGAACTCTTTAATTTAATCAACCTAATTGGGTTACTGCCTCACAGAGGAAATAAAAATACAGAGGATTTAAGCCTGAGTGTATTTGAGAATCAAAAGCAGCCAAAAGTGAGAAGGAAAAGCAAGCAGTTTGTTTACTGATTTGCAAAAGGGTATACTCTGCATTTATAGTGCATACCGGTGGTCCTCGACTTATAGACATTTGTTTACGCATCGTTTGAAGTTAACAACAGCGCTGGAAAAAAAAATGACTGAGGACCGTTTTTCACACTTACATCCGTTGCAGCATTTCCATGGTCACATGATCAGGATTTGAACGCTTGGCAACTGGCATGTATTTATGGCAGTTGCACTGTCCCAGGGTCACGTGATCACCATTGGTAACCTTCCCAGCCAGCTTCAGACAATCAAATTCAGTGAGAGAAGCTGGATTCACTTAATCACCAATGATTCGGTTAACAACTGCAGTGATTCACTTAACAACCGTGGCAAGAAAGATCGTAAAAGGGGGCAAAACTCACTTAACCACCGTCTTGCTTAGCTGTGGAAATTTTGGGTTCAACTGTGGTTATAAGTTGAGGACTACCTGTATGGACTGCTTCTATACAAATTATGATGGGGTGGAAAGATTTTTTCCCCCATGTGCTTCCACATTTTAGAAAAATCTAGTAGCTTATTTAATGCAGAGGTCCCCAACCTTTTGGGCACCAGGGACCGGTTCCGTGGAGAGAGGTTTTTCCACGGACCGGAGAGTGCATGTTTTTGTGTGCTGCCTGCATCCCACGGATGGGGCTTTGCTTGTTTGTGTGGACCGGTTGCTGGCGTGCCATGGCCCAGTACCGGTCCACGGACTGGGGGTTGGGGACCCCTGATTTAATGAATCTGAGATGTTTTGCTAAAGAGACAGAAAGCCGGCTCAAGATGAATTGATGCAAATATTGCTTCTGCACATAATCAGAGATGTTATTAATCTTGTCGGCCTTGCAGGGTTGTGATAGTGCCTAATATAAGAAAAATGAAAATGGGTGGGATTTAGGAAGGAGGAACTCTATGGCTCATGAGACTTGCATGGTGAATGGATGGCCATACCGAATGAATGAACAAATAGAAATATAGAAAACTGACAGCAGAAAAAAACCTCCTGGTCCCTGGAGTTTGGCTTTTGAGGAGTTCTTTGTTGTTGTTTTTCACCTCTGGGACTCTTGCAGCATCCCCCTGGCCATGTGATCAAAACTCGCCAGAAGGTTGGCAACTGGCGTGTGTTTGTGTTAGTTGCACTGTCCCGGAGTCATGTGATCGCCATTTGTAACCTTCCCACCAGCATTCATTTTTTAATTATTGTGGTTTTTTTTTACATTTTGGTGGCATGATCGGTCCCCCTCACTATGAATGTTCCTCTTCTTTTTATCAGTATCTTGTGGATTGCGATGAAGTGATTTTCATGAAGGAAGGCTGCATCACTGAGAGAGGAAGCCATGAAGACTTGATGAATCTGAATGGCGACTATGCAGCCATTTTCAATAGCTTGCAGCTGGGAGAAACACCACACATTGAGGTATTTTTTTTTTCTGTGCTACGGTTCTTGTCCTAAACAGCAATAAAGTCATATGTAAATTACCCTAAAGCCCAATAACTTATTCTTTATTACAAGCCATTCACATAATAGCAAAATTATTGTGTTGTTGTTAGTTGCAAAGTCGTATCTGACCCATCGCGACCCCATGGACAACGTTCCTCCAGGCCTTCCTGTCCTCTACCATCTTCTGGAGTCCATTTAAGTTCACACCTACTGCTTCAGTGACTCCCTCCAGCCACCTCATTCTCTGTCGTCCCCTTCTTCTCTTGCCCTCCATCTTTCCCAGCATCAGGCTCTTCTCCAGTGAATCCTTCCTTCTCATTAGGTGGCCAAAGTACTTGAGTTTCAACTTCAGGATCTGGCCTTCTAAAGAGCAGTCGGGGTTGATCTCCTCTAGGACTGACCGGTTTGATCGCCTTGCAGTCCAGGGGACTCGCAGGAG